ACAAAAATATGGAATAAAAATTATGCATGGTGGGGTTTCAAGCATGTCATGCCCAAAACTTGTAAGGAGGCTCACGTTCAACATGCCTGGGCAAGTGGAAATTAAAAAGGTTGGCAGGTGGTGTGGTCCGCCACAATATGGGCGTTATGGTTAGCACGAACAGTAAGACTTTCCAAGCAAAACAAGTGCCATTGATGAGGTATTTGAAATGATAAAGTGCAATTCACACTGCTAGATTAAGAGCAAATTTGATGGCTGGTCATACGCTTACTCGGATTGATGCAATAATCCTAGCAAATGCAGAGGCATAAAGTTTCAACATTAGTAAACACAAAAACATAAAGGATGAATAGGCACCAAGAGTGATGATTGTAATGTTTACAGGTTAGAGTACCTCTTGTACTCTTAAATTAAATAAACAAATGGCTTTCCTTGGCTTTTCAAAAAAAAATTATGAATGTCATGCAGATTTTATTTTTCATTGATTTATTTTAAGTTACAACTAAAACTTTTTTTTTAGATGAATCAAATATTTTATTGTGATGAGGAATACAAGTGGTACTCAACTCTTAGTCTCCAGGAGACATTACAAAAGATAACCTATGAGGACCTTCAAAAATCAAAGCTAAATGTCTGACAACAAATCTAGTTTTTAGTGATTTCTTGCACACATAGGCTAGGGAAATTACACCAACTAAAAAAGGAGAACATAGTGTTTACAGATTTCCCCCTAATCCATGCAAAAGACCTCCTTTAAATTAGATCAAATATTTTGTCTTCTTCCCATTGATGTGAGTTGTGTATGATTTTGTTTCTTGTGAACCATATGGACCATGTCACCACCAAGAAGATGAAAAACCACACATCAGCAGAAACTAATTTCTTTATCCCTTGACTATGCACTTCGCAAAGAAGAGAAATAGAATTGGGGAGGGAGATGGAAATCCCCCATCATTTGTAACATCTCATCCATAGCTCTTGGATCTTATAGCACTGAACAAATAAGTGATTTTCATCCTCAACATTCCTTCTACAAACGCTACAGATGCTCTCCTCTTCTTCTACCAAAATGCCCCTCTTTTGAAGATTTGATTTTGTTGGAAGGCCATTAAGCAAAAGGTGCCAACCAAAATAGCTTACTTTTGTCGGATTTAGTTTGTTCCATATCCTTTTGCATATTCTTGCCTCCAGAATTCTGATCTGTCCAACCATCATTGAGTATGCCTTGCCGACTATGTATCCATTTGCTGCATCTACGCTCCAGCTCCATTGGTCCGGTTGGGATGATAGCACAATCCCGCTCATGAGGACCTCCTTTAATCTTTGTTCCTCATTCTTTTCCCTGCCAAAAAATTCATGTCTCCAAATATTTTTCCAGACCCATACTCCATTAGAAAATTGGCCCACCTCTATAACTTTAGCATT